CGGCTGCCCCCAGGTTGATGAACATTCCTGGGATGAATTTTGGTCCCACTGAGTCTCGAGCGGTCAGTGTAACATACAATGGAGGGTGCAGGAAGAGTGAGAATTAGAGGAAGCACAGGTTTCTTCTCTATTGCTTTGTGAAATTACTGTGGGTGTTTTTGTTTTGTTTTTGGTGTGTGTATCTTAACATGGAAAAAAGACTGTTTTGTGTTTGTTTTGAATACAGTAAATACAGCAAATAGGCGCTGCTATGGAGATTTCCTCATTGACCAACCGGGCCAGGTTTTGAGAAGGACCCACTTCGACAAAGGCGTCTTCCTGCAGCACTTCATCTTATGGAATAGACTCTTACATTATTCTAACTAACATCGTATTTTACTCCAATTCAAACTACAGCCATACGTTCAATTAAAGCTGGTCATTGTTATCTTTGTAATGGCTGGTCGATGTAGAACAGGGAAGAGCAACTTAAATGATGCAAGGGAGGGGCACAATTTTTCATGAGCACTACTGGGGGAGCATATAGGACCACACACTGTGATTACGGGCTATATCAATAAGTTTGAATTGACTTGACTTCCGAACCAGGTTTATGACAACAACAAAAAAATAAAATAGTGAGGACAAATATGTGCAGGCCTGCGAATCGTGAAACTCTGTGTCTAATTGACAGCCATTGAAATGCATTGGGAAAATGTTGAAAAATAAATCCCTGAAGAAAAAATATTGAGAACCCTGAAAAATCTTCAAAACATGCTTATAAACTTCCAGTGTGCGTTTGGCACAAAATAGTCATTGCCCCCCCCCCCCCCCCCAAAAAAAAAACCCCACAAAACTTGAGTATGGGGTCCACTGTTGGAGAGGAAAAATGTTAATAATTTCTCCCCAAAAATCATTTTAAAATTAAAACTTTTTTTTTTTTTTAATCCAGGGGCCAGTATGGTTGCCAGTTGCCCATCCCTGGTGTATAACCACAATAGCAAAGACGTTGTTATCAAAATGTTAGGGGCAATTTAGATTTGCAATATTCTAACATGGACATTAAAATTTTACCTCAATCCAAATGTGTTTTTTTCCAGCCCTTTTCCAACATTAAGTGAACATGAAAGTCAAGATTGACAAAAAAAAAAAAAAAAATCACTTTCAAGTAATATTGTCTGACTTATCCAAGGAAACGTCGAAAGTATTGTAAAGGGTTGTAGTTGTATTCCAACCTTGTCCTTCTCTAACCTTTCTATCTGTCTCTGTCAGCAATTAGTCGAGAGTCAACTTGGCGCACCTCAATCACGGGCTGTTTCTTCATGTTCGACATCTGTTTTCCTGCTCAGGGTGAGATCTTATCACAAAATCTGTACAAGGCTGTCAGATGAAAAGAAAAAAATATGTGAGGATGGGTGGTTGATATACCTACAATATATCTGGAGCAACTTGACTACTTCAAAGAACCTCGAACCAATGCACAGTTGAAAGTCAAAATGATTAAGTCAATCAATAATCCTTTATCATCCTGGATTTTGGGGTATGCTAAAATGAGTTGCAAAGAAGAGGAAGTCTCTCCAAACATAGCATATATAATTGGTTGCAAATGCCTTTTATCATTGCAATCTGTGGGTGACAAGTGGATTTCTTTGTCGTAAAACAGTAACAGCATTCCATAGCAGCATCAAGGAGATCGTTAGCTGTATATTGTTGGAGGTCAGCAGAAACTATAGTATGCATAGTATGCATGTTACTATGTGTGGATACATACGGCAAGTGTTTGTAGGTGTCACCCGCCAGTTATGCCAGCACATAGCTACTGTATATTTGGACAGTGACTCTTCTCATTAAATGCGTATTGACTGACTCTCACCGTCTGGCTCTGGCTGTATAAAAATAATGGTCTAATAATACAGGCCAGCGCAGTTGTCTGGGGTTTCCCGCTGACAGTTTACAATACATGATATTACCGTTGACATACTAAACATGTATATGTCATTAGTCCCAAATGGATCATTGCCCATGTCATATGAAAGAGTAATACAAAACAAGAAAAGGACCATCAACAATGCACGTTTCAAATGAAAACTATGCTTGTTTACAAATGTTTTCACCTCAGATGAGAAACATTTGCCAGTGCACAATAAGCAGTGTTTCACAGGCAAATGATAACAGTAAAAACAAATATATTTACGCACATTTTTACAGCTAGTGCCATGCTTTTAGAACCGAGTACTTACACTTTTTAGGTCCTGTAAAATGACCAAACACATACATGGTTGGCAATGTGTCACTATATTGAGTGAATTTTCTAACCACTCTACCATCACTCACAAATCTGACAACTTTTGACTGCAGGTTTCTTAATTTATGCCATAGCAATTATTTAAGATGCTCTCAGTTATGCTTTTTGGTGTGACAAAAAAAAAAACATCAAATGCACAATGAACAGACGTACCATCAAACAAAAATGAAATTCCAATGACAGCTTTTTACAGCAAGTACCACAAAAACATATTTTGCACACCAAGTAACAAAAAACAATCAAGTTGATCGGTTTGAACATTAAATATCTTGTCTTTGTCGTGTATTCATTTCTAGGTTGAAATGGCTTTGCAAATAATTGTATTGTGTTTTTCATTCATGTTTTCCACAACTTGAGGTTCGTAGCTACATCCACTACTCTCACATCCTTATGTTAAGAGATTAGATCACTCCATTGAGTAGCCGAAGAAGCAAAGTCATCAGATTACACGCTGTACTCCATGAGGTGCAAATAGCAGTCATAAAATGCCCGAAACACTACTTGGGACGGCGCAAACAGCTGGCCTCTATGGAGTCAGACACATCCAGACAAGCAGCAACAGGAAGCGGTGGGAGTGTCGCTGAAAACGGAACGAAGAAGGGGAAGCGTTCAGTGGATTGAAAGGTGCACCTGACCATTGGGGGGAGATGCCTTTCCTCCTGGGATAGAGGCCAAAAAGACCTTTGAACTATAGGATGTGTTTGGAGTAATACAGCAGTTGTCTGTAACTTATTTGTTGCCAAACAATCAGCACAATAATTTAGGTGAAAAATGCAGCGCTGCGCTAGATGTGGCACAGATGCCCTATCCAAGAAATGCTAATCCGACAAGGTTATGTAGACCATTTATTTTAATAGTGCTTGTGAGTGCAAGAGCCTCAATGAAGCCATAGGAGTCACAGTGATGTCAGTGCAATCCATACCTCGGTCATGTGTCGGCTCACTATAGAAACCACATTTGAACACATTGAGACTGAGGAATGCATTTTCCAACTGACTTGCAAGTCACCCTTGAAGAACACTTGCCTGATGTTACATGTTTTCAAAAGCGACAGTCCTGCACTTTTCAAAGCCGAGTGAAGCATCACTCATTGTGAACTTTCTTGGAAATCCCAGAGGTCGGATGAATGCGTACCATTCTGTCATTATTACCACGACAAGCCCTCAAGCAAGAAACGTGCCTTTTACAAGTGGAAAGCACAAGCACCTCCGAGTGATTAGTGAATGACATTTAGCCTTTTCCTCTTGGCACAAAATAGTGTTCTGCCATCAAAATCAGATGGGAATGCAACTTGGCCATTATTTCTGTGACTTTTATGTAGATTCTGAGAAAAAATATAATGGATGCCTTTCCAGAAATAAAGAAATGTCTTTGAAAATACAAGCTTAGCATCAAAGCCAATGTGTTGGCCGATGTGAGCTCAACTACTCCACCACTGACAACTTTCCCTGCATAAAATTATTCAACTCTCATGTATACATTCTACCCTATTCCGTTCTTGGTCTCACAGTCGGAGCTCCATGATTCTTTCTCCTTTGAAACACAGAATTGTCAAACAATACCCGAGACTCTCATCATTAAATAACACCAAAGCCAAAGTGATTTATAATAAAGAAATACAGAAAGGCATGAGCTTTCAAAGTCTAATGTCAGTAGTTCAGAGTGAAATGGAGGCTACCATGTGTGGAACACTTGATCACATGATATTCAGGACAAGACTGACATTATGGTATCAACGTTGTTTTTTTTTCTTTTCTCCTGTTTCCTGCCTCTCACTGCTCCTCTTCTTTGAGGAATCTCCTTCGGGAAAAAAATACCCTCATAAAAGAAAGATTCATGTATGATCAGGCAAACAAAACAAAACAAAAAAAAAAATCATCATAAATTAGATGATAGACTCCGCGTCAGTTGCGGCATAGTTGGACACTATTGGCAGGTGACCATTTGATCTGCTTTGTTCTTTTATTTCAACCATCATTCACTTTTAACGATGAGAATTTTTGTGGTTGAACACTTCACTCTAAGTCTAAGCAAAATGCTAATGCACTCTCTGGGCGTCCAGGGCACAAGACAATGTTTGCATTGACTTTACAAAGTAGCACCCTTTAAAAGGGTGTTTCTACACTTCAAAATGTCTCATGGTGACCAAGCTCACCTGTTTTAGCATCCCTCTGTTCTCTCAAGTCAACTTCTTTCTCAATCTGTGAGCCTGTGCTAACAATACCCAGGCAAACAAAAAAAAAAAGTCTGTGAATTCCCATTTTCTTCAACCCAGTTATCTCCATTTAGTACTATGGTAAATACTTTTAGAGCTGGCTGCAATATTTTAAAAAAATGGATGGAAAAACGGCATACATTTCACGACGGACTGTAAAGAAACAGTTTTAGCTTTAGCTTTTCAAACGAGTAAAAAAAAAAAAAATGACGGTGCTGTCACGTTTTTACTTATTAAGTACCAAAGAGAGTCAGTCAGCCCAAGCATGAAAAACATATTTACACAGTGCCTGCCTTTTGACTGGATCTTTTACTCTGTTCTGTAATGCTGCCACACAAAAAGAAGGATCCCTCGGGTGGCTTTCTCTTGTGGTTTAAGAAAGACATTCACATACTAACAATCCCAACTACCAAATACCAGTATGGAATCGATTGAAATTCATTCAAAACAAATCAATAACAAGAAACAATATACCCTGTTCTGACTTTCTCGCACAACCTTGAAATAATTGGAATGACATGTCTTCTGCTTTGTACTTGAACTCGAACTTGGGAAAAAAAAACAATGTGGAATTGATCTGCCTACTGTGAATGTCAGTTCAACGCTGAGCGGATTACATGTGTATTAATGTAGTCCTTTGTTCTCCTGACTGCCAAGGGGACTAGCATAGCAACTTGTGGTCTTATGTTGGAGCTGCTTCACTTAAGCTCAATTATTGTCATTCCCGCCTTTATTTTTATGCAGCAAATAGGACCACCAAGAAGAATGAAATTCTTCCAAAACGGGTACAGAAGCTAAGATTCGTAATTGCCGCTAAAACCTACTAATGTGCCATCTGACCAAACGCGCACGCACACACACACACACACACACACACACACACACACACACACACACACACACACACACACACACACACACACACACACACACACATATACATTTGTCTGCCATCAAAGGGCATTTTTGCAATATCTCTGTTGACTCTAGAGACGATGGATGCATTAATTTTTTTCCTACCTAAGCAAAACACAGTTTGTTTCCTTCTAGTAATTGCATCCGACTTAATCCTACTTCAGGCTTTCCATCAGATCCATATTTTGTTCATAATTTGGTTTGATACAAGGTATCTTAAAAACCTCAAATGTAACTTGTTTAATTTGTTGTCTGTCGAGGAATGCACCAATTTCATAAATGTGTTGAAAAGCTAGAAGGATCATTCCCCTTCTTTTTATCTCATTTTTCAATGGTTTAACGTTAAGTTTAACACAATGTTTATACTATCAGTGGCCCCAGGAGAGGACAAATTGAGCAAATATGGCTCTTAGGCTCAGTTATAAATTATTTGCTACACCAGTTTAAATGATAGCAAATACGACACATTATCTTTTTGAAAACACAGCTACCCACACAGACCTGATTTATCGACTCCTACCTTCTCATTCAAAACCTTCCGTAATCTGACTCCAGGCATGTTCAGACTCACCATCCCCATGCATGTGGACAGCGCCACTGACGAGTTGACCTTTAGCCTCAGTGACCCCTGGTAAAAGCAGAGGTGGTCCTGCTGGTAAGCCCTTAGGCTCTTGGTGCCGTTGTTTCCCAGGACCTGGATGGTGAAGCCAGGTGCAATCAGGGTCTCTGAAGTCTCCCGTAGCTCCATGTGGAAGTCCTGCCCCAAGCCGCTCACCCGGAAGTGAGTTGTTTCAATGCTGCCTTTCGCGTTTGAAGTGGATGCATCTGGAGAAGAGGATCGTCGTCGTCTGCGCTGATGGTGGGCAATCTCGTGGGAGATGTACGCTCCTTGGTGGTTGACCTCGTACGGAGATACAATCTCATATTCTGCTCAGGGTTAGAAAAGGAGATTTTAAATTGGAGGTTTAGAAATACTGATACACGAACAGTGCTTGATTCAACGAAACTGCGCTGAGAATATGAGAGAACCGTAGTCGAACAACCCAAGTAAAAAAAAATAAATGAATAGATCATTCGGAATACGTTGCAAAAAGTAAACCAACTACCATTTTCCTTGAAAACCAGTTCATTTCAAATTACAATACACTAATGCTGAGTCCAGGTGCACCATCACAGCAAATGCCATTTGGTCAATAATAACTTGATGTGCTTGACTAGTTCAGAATAGTAATGGCCTGGTGAACAGAGCCTCTGTTTCTGCTATATTTGTGTGAGTCACCGGCTGAGTCAGCGAGCTGGTCCAGGTTGTTGTTTGTTTAGTGCTTCTCTGTCGTATTTTATGTTTTCACCTGATATGGTCATAGACAGTTGAATGTCCATTCCGAGTCGCTGCCCCCCCCAAACAACACTGCATTCAGTTTATGCGCTGTGTTTAGCTGTTTAAACAAAAATATTTTCCCATGTTTTTATATCCTTAGTATACTTTTCGGGCTCCATGAATTTCTTGTCATGCCTTGTCTAATCTTGCTGGAAGGTTCTAAAACAAGTAAGAGTTACAAGAAAAAAGGGGATGAGACAGTTTGCGATCCAGGCAGTTTAGCGGCAAGTGAACCATGTTTGACCTAGTGTTTTGTAGTTTTGTTTTAAATCCTTGCTGAAGTCAAGTAACTGCAGGTCATACTGGCAGATGGTCACAGACATGATCTCTTAGGCCAGCAATGTCTCTAATGGCCCATGGTAATTGAACCAAAAGTGAAGTTAACCTTTTGGGCCACAACACCAATTACTTTTCCAAATGGAGACACTGTTCCATTCCTCTCCACATTTTCTTAGCTCTATGCTGACCGGCAATTAACCAGCCTGTAACCAAATTCATGTTTTTAGTTGCTTTCATGCAAATATCTGTTTGAGGACACACGTTGTCGATCATCCTTGGGTGTTAATGGTGAAAGTGGGTGCCTTGTCCTAGAAACTAATGAAATGTTAATGCACTTGATGAACTCTGAGTTACCAGCAAGCAAACATATTCAATTTCACTGTTGACTTTGGTATACCGGTACTCTTGTACAAGTGTCATGCCAAAAGAAAGTGATACGCAGTAGAATTATCAGCTAATAGCCAACATAAGTATCACACCAACCTTGAACTCGCGGTCAATAAAAGCCAGTCTCAGTTACCACATATTCTGACCTGACCAAATAATGAGTAAATATAGCACAGAGACCAAAACATACACAGTGGCAGACACTATGTCATCGGTATGAAATATCAGTGATTTGAAGCTGCGATGCATCTTGATGCTGACACGAACCACATCTTCTCAAAATGACTTATGCTTATTAATGGGCGCAGTTATTTAAAACAACGTGCACTACGACTGCTTATTTTGAACATGAGTGCTCAATGACAAGAGCTCATTTCCAGACCTTGAAGTGTTTTATTTGTGTGATCTTACCACAAAGACCCCAAAGGAGCCCTCAAGTCTGAAGAGTCTACTTTGCAGCCATGAGGGCACTTAGGCAAAATGCAAAATGTCTCTTGCTATCTTGATGCGCCTTCCCCCTACACACACACAGACACTAAGCCCACTCCTGTTTGTCCCCCACACCCCTGAACTAAAAAAACATCTGCAGCGACCCATGTCTGACAGTATACAAACAAAGAGTCCACGGGAACTGAGCACACAAGCACACACATATATCTTGTCTGATGGAACGTGACGAGATCCTGCAGTGGTTAGTTTGCTGGTTTAGTGGCTCCTGAGTGCCATTAGTAGGCCGACTGATAAGAGGTCTCACCAGTGGGTACTTGGCTTAGTTTTGGCAACACCTCCTTGGCCAAAAGACCTCTGACAACCTCATGCAAGTGAATCTAACACTTCCAACATTCAGAGCTCGTATTCATACACAATCACTTGAGTTTTGAAGGATTTATTTGTCCCAGTCGCTATTTATCATGACAACTGGAAGAAAAACAATCTAATAATCTGCATGGCTGTGTGACCAAAACAGTTGCTGATGCAGCAAACCACAACGATTTTGCGCTGAGAAAACAAAAAAACGGATTAGTTTCCTTCAATAACCATGCAGTTGCTCATTCATGAAATCGCCTTGGCACAAACGTTTGGCAGTGGATCAAAATAAAATAACAGCAAGAGCTGTTCTCTCGATTTAATGGAGAATTTATGATTGATCATGCTATGCCTTCTTAATTCCTACATCAATCGCGCTGTGAAAGATGCAATTTGCGACAGTTTCTCACGGTGACGGTCGTAAAATAACCGTGCAAGATGCCCCACAGCGGTGAAGAGAGGCACTGCGTGTGTGAGCGAAGTCAGATTCTGCAGACTGACAAGAGAACTAGATGTATGTGCAATCTGCTCAAACGAAATGACCGCCAAAACGTTATTCATGTCAATATACCTGTGTGCTGAGGTAAACCAAGAGAACGAAGTAGAGACGATGAGCCAGTAGATTCACCATTTGCAGCCCCATCATTTACAAGAAAGACCTGGAAAGAAGCATTAATACATATGTTGAATCTGTTGGAGTAAAATTTAAGCATACAGCACATAAATCCTAGAACGACGCGCTGTCACGTGTGTACGTTAACAACTTTATAAATTCTCACGCTTCTGCACGTATCCTGAGCGATGCCGGGATCACATTAGTGACTTACGTGAGTGAATGCGAGACTGCAAGCCAAATGGAAAAATAACACCATCCAGAACCGATCCATCCTCTCAGCGCAGGTCCGTAACACGGCCGCCGTATCTCCAGGTGACGCTCCTTTTCCCAGTAACTTTTGTGAATGCAGCGGTCTCTTGTATTCAATTAGTGTTGTAAAAGAGTGACTTGCGGTGATGAATTTTAGCTATTTTCATATGCAGCGTAGAGTACAGTTCCCCCTTTCATTTATGTGGCCCGATTCCACTTCTCTCTCTCTCTCTCTCTCTCTCTCTCTCTCTCTCTTGTCCCTCACCCATGGTCTGAGCCGCTTGTAGGTGGGCTGTGTCTTCCTCTCCTCTCTCTCTCTCTCTCTCTCTCTCTCTCTCTCTCTCTCTCTCTCTCTCTCTCTCTCTCTCTCTCTCTCTCTCTTCCCAGCTGTCCTTGCGGATCCTTTTGACTCCCACTGTAATCACGTAACGGTCTTAAATAGGTCGTCTTTAGAAAATAGAAATTGACAATACCACATCCGAAACAAGTGGTCTCGGTAGGCTGTTTGTGAGACATAAATTTTAGTGCTTCTGCAGTCAACTCATTCGTTGCGAACAGCATTGGTTTACGCTTGCACAATCGACTCACGAGAACCTAACAGATGACAGAAAGAGTTAGTTTAATGCAGGGGTCCCCAACCGCCGGTCCATGGACCGGTACCGGTCCGCTGGGCATTTGGTACCGGGCCGCACAGAAAGAACTTGCCTTAATTCCTTTTTATTTATTTCGGAATCCGAAATTTATTTTATTTTGAAAATTTACCGGATTCTCTGTTACATCCGTCTGTATCGCGCTTGACACACGTCAAGCCACGCTTCTCCGTCACGTGACCGATTACGCCAAAAACAAAATGCCGGAGCTGCAAAATGAGTAAAAAAAAACTGCTGGAGATCGCAAATGACGGCGGCCTTAAAAGTACGTTAGAGACAACTGGATTAAAGTTATGGCTGAATACTCTGAGATTGCCACAATAGCACTGTTGCTATTTCCGACATCCTACCTGTGTGAGGCGGGGGTTTCTGCAGCAACGGGACGAAAACAAAATTACGAAGTAGACTGGACATAAACCACACACTTGAGGTGTCATTGTCTCCTATTACCCCGAGATGGGAACGTCTGGTTGCAGAAAATCAAGCTCGGGGCTGTGGTGAGTCGTCATTTTCCTGCACTTTGAATTTGCGTTGTATCGTATTTTGAAGGCATTAAACATTACCATAGCGATCAGAGTGTTGGTGCCAGATTAGACGCTCCTTGTGTTTGTTATTATATTTCGAAAACACCACAGTTTGCATGCAGCTCATACCATATTATTTTGTTGTATTATTTCCGCCACACCTTAAATGCCGGTCCCTGAAAATATTGTCTGACATAAACCGGTACGTGGGGCAAAAAAAGGTTGGGGACCCCTGGTTTAACGGGTCTAAGCCAAGAAATGTAAACCAGCATTTTAACCAGACCATATGACAAAATGCCACGACTAAAGGGGCAAGCATGTAAGCGACAGATAAGTGTTTGTCAGCAGCACGCAATCACATCGAGATACTTGTCTTGTCTCTTTCGTAAATGAGAAGTCATTGTTTCTCATACGATCCGTTGCCATAGTTTGCTCAAACCACTCATAATACAAGCAGGATCAAGGTAAGTAAAATTTAGTGGTTGGGTCATTCCAGAATTGGAGGACATTTTACATCCCACCCATCCATCCAATTTGAAATAATCCACATACACAATCCTAAAACACAAGTAAATTTACTTGTCCTGAGATCAAATCTAAAAAAGAGGGACAATAATGCTTGAAAAATGTTTTATATATATATATATATATATATATATATATATACACACACACACAGTATATATTAACATGTCATGCATGTTTTTGGAATGTGGGAGGAAACCGGAGTACCCGGAGAAAATTCACGCAGGCAAGGGAAGAACATGCAAACCCCACACAGGAAGGCCGGAGCCGAAATCAAATCCTGCACCTCTGCACTGTGAGGCGGACGTGCCTTCCAGTCTACAACCGGAATGCCGTATTAACAGTCCTGTATTACCTGTATTGCAATTTTCCTGTATTACCTTTGAAAATGTAAAAAAAAAAAATGCTCAAGTTTATTATACAGATACTGAATCAGAGCTTACTGTCCTAGGCAGATGGTGTGTCTTTATTCCATGTAATTTCCTCTTATTCAAATCATGGACTGCATGGTGTGGTTCACAGTGGTATGCACACATGAAGGTAAACGTTCAGTCATGAAAGTCTTGTCACAGAAATCCAAAATTAAGCTCTGTAAGTCCACCCTGCAGAAGGTAATGGATCATTTGTGATTTACTTAAGAAATTAAACTTCTGACCCTCTTCGTCATTCTCCCGTCTCACTTATATTCAGCAGCTGCTCTGATAGGCAACTTGCCAACAGGCATCAACTCACCACGGGTGCTCACAGAAGTACTCAAGGGTGCGAGAGCCAGAGAATTGGGAGTGCTTGTTTCATATTACTGGAGCAATTCCTCCTCCCCAAAGAAAACCATGAGATTGCAGAATCACAGCAAGACATGTGTGATTGTGTATGGCTTAGGATGTGTTTGAGAGAGAATGGGATATCTCAAATGCTTGTCAGTGGTTTGGAAAGTCAGCCAAATATCCGCTCGCTGGTCACAACATTAAGTGCACCTGCAGTATCTGGTTCGATTTTAAAAAGTGTTACCAAAAATTCCTTAAAATTTAAATTATGAATGCAAATTGGAATCACAATCACATTGTAAAACAAATGCCTCTCAGTCATCAAAACTGAGCATTATATTTGGAAGGGTAAACTTTTTTTTTTTTCCATAAAACGTCTTGTCACTGAGTCACTGATGGTCTAGTGTTACACTGGCCTGACTTGTGAGCGGGCAGCATGGGATAGGTTCCCACTCGGTGATGATGAAGATATGTTTTCCAAGAAAAATGGGAGTTGGTGCCCCCCCCCCCCAAAAAAAACAACCAAAATGGGAAAAATATTGAGAAAAAAAATCCACAAACTCAATCTGTGGGTGCTGAAATGTGAGTATGCTGGAGTTCCCTGTAGTAAAGCAAACATGTTTCTTATTTTCCCACCCTCCTCCAAAACCTTTAGGAAAAACAATTTAAAAAAAAAAAAATAATTGAGCGGCCAATGCCTCTCAGTCATCAAAACTGAGCATTATATTTGGAAGGGTAAACTTTTTTTTTTTTCCATAAAACGTCTTGTCACTGAGTCACTGATGGTCTAGTGTTACACTGGCCTGACTTGTGAGCGGGCAGCATGGGATAGGTTCCCACTCGGTGATGATGAAGATATGTTTTCCAAGAAAAATGGGAGTTGGTGCCCCCCCCCCCAAAAAAAACAACCAAAATGGGAAAAATATTGAGAAAAAAAATCCACAAACTCAATCTGTGGGTGCTGAAATGTGAGTATGCTGGAGTTCCCTGTAGTAAAGCAAACATGTTTCTTATTTTCCCACCCTCCTCCAAAACCTTTAGGAAAAACAATTTAAAAAAAAAAAATAATTGAGCGGCCACTCAGAGTGCTGTCACAGGCCACATGAGGTCTACGGGCTGCCCGTGTTCAATCCCTGGTTTAATATAATATCTTGATCCAGTGTTATTCTTGAGTTTGACAATCTTGGCCAGACCAAAGATAAAATGTTAATTCTTACCATGGGCTCAGAGTGGCAGCTATTGCGTGCACCATCCTTCTCCCCTAGTGTCCCTTCACAGGGTGGCTCCAAAAGGCGGATTCATTTCCCCATTGTGGGCTTGATCCAAATTGTAACCACGCCGTAGTCCTTAGGCAAGAAACTGAGACAAAATTTGCTCATGACACTGACATCAGTAGGTGAATGAGGAGACAGTGTTAAAACACTTTAAGTTGGGTGGAAAAGTGCTATATATTCCAGTGAAAATAAAAATTGTCAAACCCCTTTTAAACAAAATACAATCATGGGCAAGGCAGAGAGATTTCAAAATATCCTATGATTGTTGAAGTCATGGTGCCATCGTTGGGGCTGTGGTTAGTGTGAGTGTTAACATATGGGAGGTCTTGTTTTAACCCAGATTTATCACATGAGCGGTGATAGTTCACACTGAGACACATGCGCTGGGAAAAGCTGAGATACTCAAGATTCCTCTGATTTTCAAGATAATTATGTTTCACCTCTAGTTTAAATATTATTGCTGCGTTTTACAGATATAGATAAATTTTACCTTTTGGAGTTGGATTTAGCTCATTTAAATCAGAAATACAAATTTCATGTTATGTGAGAGTAAAGTCTCTGGTCATCGATCAGTGCTCATGTATCTGTGCCTGCAACAATACACTGCAAGCAGGAACATAAATCATGTTCAGTTACCAACTTGAAACAGTGAAATTATCCCTTTTTTATCTTTATTGCACCATTCCAGATATTTATTGTTGTTGTTTTTTTACTTTAAATGAAACAATTCGCTGACTTTATGCAAAACAAAAACATATTTGAGTTTCATAAAAATATTCCTATACTGTATCTCTTTGGAGTACTACGGGCCCAATTACCCGAGAGCACAACATGTGGTTTGTAAGCCCAAGTTGAAAATGAAGAGCTGAAAATCTGTGCTAATTATTGGTCATCAAGTTTATGTGATCACTGGAGCAGAAAAAGCATCTCTGGAGGGGTGTAACCTAAAACCAAAGTGGCCAGTCTTATGACACTCTGCAGGAGTAAGAGCCTGCTAAAGTTCATCACCTCTGTATTGTGTAAGCAGCCCAGTTATTATACCCCCCTTCATCATTGCCTCAATAGAGTAACTGTTTCTCAGAGATGATGAATTTTAATTAGACAAGTGGTTAAGAATGCGACCTGTGAAGAAAGGCTGAGGTGGCCCCCAACAAAGTAGCCAGGGGCCCTGTAAAGCTGGCCACTGTATTTATGTTGACTCTCGTACTAGGTTAAACTAAAGGAAATGTTCATGCAGTGCATGTACAAATGTATTCAAGACAATATCATGTTCTTGGTAGCCATCTGTATATGGGTGTATACAGATGAAAGATCACACAAATCTGCTTCATAGTATTCTGTGCAGTATATCTGTTTGACATATCCACAGGAAAGTGTTTCTTTAGCTGCACCCAAACTTTTGCATGTCTGAATACTAGTGGCAGGATGTTGACTGCTTGTCTGGCCAAGTCTCTCAGACTCACACACTCGGCCA